CAATCCCAACTGGACAATCTTATCAGCAGCTGCCCATCAGGAACAGTAAAATCCATGGATTTGGAGGAAAAGAGTCTCAGAGTAACTTTCTGAATGTTTCAGTGTGTTTTCTCTCCCCTGTATATCACAAGGATTTTCCAGCCTGAAATATCCAACTAAGCCAATCTACTCATGCTCCTTCTACCTCACGAGACATTTTCAGGGGGCAACACAAAGCAGAAAACCAAATTAAATGTTCCAGTTCCCCTCCCAAGCCACCCCTCCACTATGGAGAAATCTCTGTGAAACAGATCAGCCAAACCAGACATTTCATTTCAGCAAGGAATTGTGTTTCAAATTCCCTGGGTATCAAATTAGCACAGCCCTTTTTTCCAGTGTCAGGGAAAGGAAAGCCCCGAGCAGTTCAGTGGGACACAAGGAAGTTCCCATGAAAACTCAACAGGTTTAATGAAACAAGGCCAGAAACCACCTTCAAGAGCTGAGCCACAGGTGCTGTCCCATGGTTTGTGTGACAAGGGACTCGCTCCATGCCCTCAACCCCAGCACTGACAACACATTGGGAGCACGTTTCCATAGAAATCGTGGAATTGTTTTTTGGGTTGGAAGAGACCACAAATCCCAGCTCATTCCAGGGACACCTTGCACTGTCCCAGGCTGCTCCAAGCCCTGTCCAGCCTGGCCTTGGGCACTCCCAGGGATGGGACAAACTCTCTGTCCTAAGGAGTCAAGCATCACTTAAACAGGATTTCACTTTTGAAGAACAACCACCAGGGCTGCCTTTGCTCCCAGGACCTTTTCAGAGGACCACAAGTCTCAAGCAGGCCCCGGCCAGCAGCTCTCAACACTGAGCTGTGCCCAGCCCCAGCTGCTCCCAGGGCAGGAAACAGCCTGGCTGCAGGAGCTGTGCTCCGAGGGTGGCTGCCAGAATTACCTTCTGCCTCCGCCTGAATCCCAGCTCCCAGGGAACAACTCGCACGGTCACGCTGCCAAAAGGCAAAACTGAGCAGAAACCCCAGTCCCAGCCCTGTTGTGCTCACTATTCTTCACCAACACCATGTGAAAAATTCCCCACATTCAACAAGACCATCCCTGCAGAGTTCTATTGTCTCCAATTATTAATTAAACATGCTCTGAGAGAAAGCAAATGCCTAAAATCATTTGCTTCTACCAAGCAACTCCCACACTACCCAAGTGCAATTCAGACAGTCTAAGTATATCCACTGCCTGCAATTCCAGAGGGACCACCAGCACACAACTCTCCCTTCTCTCCACTTCAAGCACACGCACGCACGAGCCACGGGAGACCCCAGCCAAGAAAACCCGGCCAATTTTCCTCAAAACCTGCTCAGTGTTGATAACTTGTCCCAGCTGAATATCCCGAGTGTCTTTCCACTCCCTCCAGGAGCAGCAGAGGCTGTTTGGGTTTGTGAGGAGATCTGTGCAACCTTTCATAACCAAGGCAGATCCAGCCCGGGCCATTCCTCACCTGGACCCATCCCATCCCCTCCCTACGTGATGTCCTGATCCCTATCCAGGTTTTTTTCCTGGATAAACAAGCACACAAACACTCCACTGCAGCCAGGGCAACTCTCTGCCCAACAGCAATCAGACAGCCTAAACACTCAAATATTAAAATTACCAGGGACCCTGACACTCAACCTCATCCTGCTGCTTTTTGTGGGTAAAAAGAGAAAAATCTGCAGTTAAGTGTCCTCCATGGAAGTCTGGTGATGAAGGATCCCAGCTGCAAACACCTGGGATTTTGTTCAGGAGATCTGAGAGACCGAGTCAGGAAATCAAAAATCTGATTCCAGCACCACTTCAGTGTCTGCAGGGACAAAGGAGACCTTACAGCACAAGCTTTTTGTGGGGATGGTGAAGATTTGACACCTAAATTTCTGAAATTACAGGGACATCTTTAATTGCTTCATTTTATATAAAAACCCACACACACCTTCCAGAGGAGGAGGGAAAAATGCAACAGGAAAAGAAAGTTTCTAAGCAAAACACAAACAGACACAGCATTTTCCTGCTGCTCACAGGAGGACACCACCAGGAAGGAGCTTCTCTCCTCCCTTCCTTGGGAGAAACTTTTCCTCAGGCCATCCCTGCTAAAGCCACTCTCAGCTCAATTCCCAGAGCTGCCAGTAGGAAAAGTGACCAGGAGAAACAGCACAATGAAATCCATGGAAAAGCAGGCTCCTGCAGCACTCCTGGCTGTTTAATGCCACCACAAAATGCCATCGTTTGGTAAAAGCCACCGCAGTGCTATCACCAACAGACACATGTCTGTCTACACACCCAACAAAAACAATCTGGGATTCAACAATTAAAATCCTTCTACCTTTAATTACGACCTCCCATGCTCTAGGCAGACATTAACCTATATTAGCCTATCATTATTTTTTTCTGACTTCCCATTATCTTTTAGCTACTGAGTTTCCCAACCAGTCTTCAAGGCTGAACAATCTTTGAAAGTCTAAAATGGAAAGTGCAGTAATAAAAGTGCATCCGTAAGAAACTGAGAGCTGGGAGACATCCCTAATGATTCCCTACCACCCTGCATGTCCCAGCACTTCCTTCCACTTCTGTTTTTGCAGGCCAAATTCAATTCTAAACCCAAACTGAATGAAATCACTTTGCATGCGTGAGATTTGTTCCTGCTCCAAGGAATTTATAATTTAAGAAGCAGATGTGGAGGGGGCCAACAAGTCAAAAAGAAGGGCAGTGTTAGTATTACACATCCTGCACTCTGCTCCCCAGGAGTAAAACCCTGAGGCAAGCAGAGAACCATGGAAAAAGAGGGCAGGAGCACCAAACTCTGATAAAACCCTGCTAAAAGTGATAAAACTCTTGATAAAATGCCCATCAATCACTGGAGCACCCGGTATCAAATGAGACAGGGAACAGGGTTAGTGCCCCACCTCAGAGCTGACTTGGGAGAAATTAGACACAAAGATTGCTCTAGAGATGAGCACTGAATGCAAAAACATTGGAACTACGGCTGTAGCACATTTATCACAGAGTACAAGGCAGCAGGAAGCAGAAGAGATAAAAACCCCAATGTTAATTCTGCTCTGCTGGGTTATTTCCTGAGCCTCAGCTCGCAGAACTCTCAGGGGAAACATCAGAGAGCATCACACAGAATCATCTCTGAGCCCCATCCTGCAGGTGTGATCTGGCCACACAACCTCCTCACCCCTGTCCTGCCACCACACCATACAGGAGCTGCATTTGAAAAGATCATTTAAACTAGCAAAAGTTAATGAGCTTTCCCTTCATTAAGTGGTTTATTTATTAGGATCATTTCATTGCACAAGTTACTGAAGAAAATCAAGCTGAGCAACACTTCTGCTGACAACAGAGCAAGCCTCTGGAACAGGCAGGATTCTTTTGTTTGAGTGAAAGTTTAAGTCTTCCCATTATTAAATAAATAAATAGAAGTTTTTAGCAGAGTTTTTAATGACTGTGAGCTTGGAGTGCCCTGTCTCCACCCCCCTTATCTCCAGTGAATTTTGTTGTCTTTGCTTCCAGGGATTTGCAGTGAAAGGAGGATGAAAGTGTGAGCTGGAGAAAAAGAGGATTGAGAATTTATGACATCATTTGAATTCATGAAGTCATCTTGCCACAAAATGCCCAAACAATAGCAGGCCCTGCCCGGGCATCTCCACCCCAAGACTCTGTGGTGGCTTTGATTTGGAAAACCTACAAGTCTGCAAGAAGAAATTCTTGCTGATTGTTTTTTTCACAACTTAAAACATTAAGATCTCTGGCAGTGATGCCTCTTGAAGCAAGTTTTACAGTTAGTGACTGAAAACTCGGGTAATAAACGGAAAAATGACATCTGTTTCAACGCAGTTATTTCTTCTGAAGTGATACCTAAATACTACATTTCTCCATAAGGGAAAAACAACAATATTTCTCTAGCTCCTTAGCTCATACTGCAGTATTTTATGTGATTTTTCTTCCAGAACAAATTAACAGGGCACTTGGGTTTATTTCTTTGTTGATGTACACACTGCCTTCAGTGAGGCTGCAAAATTCCCTGCAATGTTTGCTTTTAAATGGTCTGGTTGGCAATACATCCCCTGGGGAGGCACAGCAGAGGAGCCAGCGCTCGGTCGCTTTGATTCCAGAAACTGGAGGCAGGAGATGCTCGTAAGGGTTGCAAAAGCTTTGTGTCTGCTGCCCTGGCAATATTTGTGGGGATCATTCTGCTTTCAAATGTGCTTACACTCGGGTTCTGCTGCCTCGGAGAGGAAGCACTCGTGTGTCTTTGATGAGTGAGCTACAGGTCAGACAGAGTGGAGTGAGTCAGCCACTCGTTTAACTGCAGCACCAGTGACAATGCAACTGCTGAAAAGACTTCGAGTAAACAGCCTGGCCCACCACCCCTCTAGAGACTCTGAGTGCCTCGAAGAAGTTCCTAAAACCACTGCTTGGTGACACTCTTGAGGCTGCTCTTCTCACTTCAGCTACACACACCATCACCACCTTCCCCTCTACATGACAACCATAAAAACCCAACCCCAAAGCAAAGAAACCCACTCAAACGTACCACCAGCAACTTCCACTCCTGTGTTTTCCAATATTGGGAATGGTAAAAGCCCAACCTACATGCATTGGCAGTTTTGTAATACCGTTACATAAGAATTATTTAACTACAGCAACACATTTGAAAAGCAGCAGCAGCAGTCACAGCTATGCTGGTTCACACATCAGAAAAAAAAAAATCAATAAAGGGAGCGATGAATTTTGTAAACATGCATTCGACTGTCACAGGGAGTGGATCGGGATTTGGGATTTCAACACCCTCAAGAGCAGAAACCTTTCAGCTCAGAGCTACCAGGGCACCGCCACCCTAAGAAGAGAGAACAAACAGCACCACTGTTGCCATTCCAACTCCACCAGAACCAGCTCCAGCTTTAGAAGAGCACCGTGAAAAGCGTCTCTGAGAAGCCTGCAGGGCTGACTCGGGAAAGCTGGGAGTGGTTTTCTACCTGATGCTCTGCGTGGATGTTGTCCCCGGTGGGCCAGCGGTGTTTGCTGTTGTTGTAGCCGCCGCCGCCGCTGCCTCCTCCCCCGAGCTGCTCCCCGTGCTGCCTCTGGAAGAAATAATCCACCATGGCGTCGTCCTGGGAGCGCCCCGCCACTCCTATGGATCCTGGCACGGGGCTGGAGTGTGTCCCTGCTGCAAGGGCCTGGTTTGCAGCTGGCTGGGGCTGAGCCTGCGAGCCTGTGCCAGATGTCAGTACCACAGGCATGGTGGGGCTGGCTGTGTCTTGAGCGTGCTGCTTCAGGTGGGGGCTGAACGAGTCCTGCCACAGAACTGCTTTTCTCTTCAAAACGCACGCTACGCTCATTCCACCAACACCTGCAGGGGGGACACGGGGGAAAGAGAAGGGAAAGAGACATGAAATCCTCCCAGCTGCGGCTCTGAGTGTTAAATAACACACCCATCTTGTGACTGCCAGGGCAACACCGCTGTGGCAAACGGGGCTCCTTCAACACTCGCTGGCTCTGAGAACCCAGCAGCTACGAGGGCACTGGGAACGCTCAGAAATGTCACATTCCGTGCCCCATGGGGCTAGCAGGATGCACAGGATGCCTGTGAAGCACCAGCAGAACGGCAATTTCTGCGAGGGACAACACACTGACTGGAAAACAGCCCCCAAAAAACCCATGGAAGGCAGTGACACCAGGACTTGCTGCTCCCTTCCAAGGCAGGCAAAAGAGGCCGGGTCCCCCATCCACAGGAACACTCAAGGCCCCCTGTACCCCACAGTATCCCAAAGTATTCCCTCAGTCATGCAAAGGAACAGTTTGCTTTGGTTTTGGGGTTTTGGGTTTTTTTTTCAATGCAAACTTCAGATCCCGGATTTCTGCTTGTACAGCTGATGGAGCCCCAAGCACAGCGTGCGCTCTCGCTGCTAACTCACAAGCTGTGCTCAGGAACCAGAAAAACCCATGGACATCCTTTATGGAATTCCCTGGAGAAGGAGCAGCAAACCTGGCATCTCGGCAGAACTTTCCAGAGCAGGCACAGCCAGCACTGCTGGTCCTGCTGTCCACGGCACCGGGGCAAAACCGCACAACTCCAACACATTTCAGTGCCCACAACACCCCAATAAAATACCCCAAAAAAATGAAATACCCCACATGGTTTGCATACCTGCAAACCTACAGATTAAGATGACAGCAACTCACGAACTTCCTATCCCCCAAATATTTTGATAACGTTCCAGCAGCACAAAACCACAGAAGTTTGTTTGTTATTTTAAGGCAGGACTATCAGAGCAGTAAGGACACTACAGGTGTGAACAGCAAAGTGTTTTCCCCGTTATGTAATACTCACACGACGAGCCCAATTCCTTTTTAAAGGCATGGGACAGTCTGAAGTCATCTTTATTAAAAAGACTGATAGTTTATGATTTAAGGTACCTAAAAGCAGCCCCACAGAGAGTTCTGAGGATGAATTTGGGGTGGTGGAGCCCTGGGAAGCTCCTGGCAGAGCAGCCCCAAGGGTCTGAAAGACGGCTCTGTTCCCTCCCTGCTCCTCGTAGTAGCCCTGAACAACACTCAACTACTACAAACAACTTCTACAAACACCCTACAAACGGTGGGGAGACCAAAATAAAAGATCTGAGTCGTGTCTTTGACCAGACTTTGTCAGCACGAGTGAAGCATGAGGTTAATATTCGGAGGAAAACGACTCGAAAAACTGCAGACATCAGGTTGTTTTAATTGCACCTCCAACATCACTTGGTGCTGCACACACACAGCCCCCAGGGCCACTCCGCAGGGCTTTTTATACACTCACAACTCAAATACCACGGACATCCAACAGGACTCACTCCTCCAGCTTTCAGAGTCTGGAAATCACCACCTTCCCCACATAGTTAAAAACACACTGGAAACTCGATATGACTAAATCTTGACTGGTTTTAAGACTGCAATTCGGTTTAATGGCGTTTTTCCTCTGATTTCCTTTTAGCAAACAATATCAAAATCTTTCAGTAACATCACATGAAGCACTCGAGCTCCTCTATGCAAAAAGAATTTAAAAAATTAAGTAACTAATGGTAAGAATTTAATTTATCATCAAAACGAGGTGTGCACTAACTGCAGCAATGAAATCTGAGCGGGCCCCTCCAAAGGAAGTTACAAGTTATCTCAGGGCAGACCGTAAAAAAAAAAACAACCAAACAAAGGAAGATACTATGAATCCCCACCAAAAAAATTCCCAGTATCTACAGACTGTCCCAGCCCATTCCCAGTGCCAAACAAGGTACAAAGTTGCACTGCCGCAGCCTTTGCTCCTTCAAAAGGCCGCGCGTCCCTCCGTCCACCAATTAATTGAATCAATTAATTGAATCAAGGTGTTTATGGTGAAAATCGGGAGGCTCCAGAAAAGCTGAGTGGATTAAGGAGAGGCTGCTCCCAGGCGCTTCCTCTGCTGCTGCGAACACGAGAGGCGAACTTGGCACAGGAGACATTTTGCAAGGGAGCGCTGCGGGCAGCTCGGGGGCAGCTCCCAGCCGGGTTTTTATGGGAATTTCGCGATCCGGACAGCGGGACAGCTGAATCCTGTCACTCACGGCTGCACGAAGTCACCTACACGGCAAAGCCGCAGCTGCTCGGGGCCTCCCGAGCCTCTTTCATTCCCAAACTCTTCCTAAAAATAGAGCATCAACTTTTCCCAGGTGGGCAGAAGGCCGGATTTGCAAACAAAGGCTTCGGTGCCGAGCTCAGGGAGGGCGGCTCTGCTTTTCCCTGGATGAGAACTCGGCACGGGAATGAACTGCTCCGTGTGCTCACAATTCTTCCGATTCTGGGACGCTCCGCAAACAACAAAAAAACTTCCGAGGAATCTCCCCGCGAGTTTGAATCACCGGCGGTGACAACGCTGAATAAAAGAGCTTTAATCCGCACAGAGCCCGGCTCCACAGCCACATCCTCACGGCTCCGATTCCCTATTCCCCTCAAAATCACAGATTATGACAAAAAAAGCGTTTCAAAAAAGTTCAACCCCAAAGCAGAGGAGTCTGGGCTGGGTGGGTTTACTTTTTTTTTGGGGGGAAGTTGCAGTGGGAATGAAAGCAGAGCCATTGTTTGAGAGCGGTGTGGCCTAGCAGAACTTTTAACGTTATCCCTGTGTTTTCCTGGAATCCTGGGGAGACGCAGCGCTCAATTCCTGACCCACGGGATTCTCAAAACCAGCACTAAAAACCCCAAAAGGACCCACGGTCCCCCTTACCCCACCTCCGTCCCTCCTCAGAAAGGAAATTCCTTACTCATGATCTGCCTAGTAAAAATCTCTGCTCCGAACAAAGTTATTAAACATTGACCAAAGCAAACAACAACAACAACAAAAAAAAAAAACCCAGAGAATTTCTCAGGTTGGGGCGAGAGGCTCTTAAAATTCCAACTTTGCAGCTCACAAGGGCAGAAGCTGTTGTTATGTGAGCACGAGATAAAAACAAGGGGGAAAAAAAAACCCCCAAACACAAAACCCCCGGGGTCACCCAGCACATCTAAAAGGATCGTGAGCTTTTTTCCTCCCTCCCGCCGCCAGCCCCGACCCTCTCCTCTCCCAGGGACCCCCCGAAGCTCCGAGACCCCCCAAAAGCGGAGGGGAAGGAAGCCAAGCACCCCCCGGAGCCCCGGGGGCAACAAAGCGGGGCCTCGGCCGGAGCGACAGAGCCCCCCGGGACGGAGCCCCGAGGAGAAGGGGGAGCCCCCCGGGATGAGAGCCGTGCGGGAGGAGGGGGAGACCCTCCCCGGGAGAAGGGGGAGCCCCACGGAGCGAGGGAGAGCGGCCGGCGGGGCCGGGCCCGGGGCAAGGCGGCTGCGGGCCGGGATGGGCCCGCGCCCCCCCAACAATAACCCCCGTCCCCGTTACCGGAGCGCCCGCGGGGCCGCGCTCGGGGCCCGGGGGTCCCCCCGCGCCCCCTCCCCGCTAACAATGGGCCCAGGCCGCGGCCCCGACACGGAGCGGGGCGGGAGCGCCGGCGCAGCGCCCCCGCCGCCGCTCGCCTTCGGGGCGGCCTGGGGCCTCTCCTCCCGCGCCCCCCGCCAATATGCGCCCACGGGCGGGTCCGCGGGGGTCCGCGGCGCGGCGGGGCCGGCGCCGGGCCGCTACTCACGGGCGGAGCGCTCGGATGCAGACGGATGCCGGGCCCCCCCCGGCCGCTCGCCGCTGCCTCTCCCCGGCCGCTCACTCCGACAACATGGCGGCGCGGCGGGGCCGCGGCCGCGCTGCACCACGGGAAGGCGAGGCCGCTCCAGCGCCGCCGGGACGGGGCGGGATGGGAAGGGAAGGGAAGGGACGGGATGGAGCGGGATGGAACGGAACAGAACGGGATGGGATGGGATGGGATGGGAAGGGATGGGATGGAGCGGGATGGAACGGAACGGAACGGGGCGGGATGGGATGGGATGGGAAGGGATGGGATGGGATGGGATGGAGCGGGATGGAACGGAACGGAACGGAACGGGACGGGATGGGACGGGATGGGAAGGGATGGGATGGGATGGAGCGGGATGGAACGGAACGGAACGGGGCGGGATGGGATGGGATGGGAAGGGATGGGATGGGATGGAGCGGGATGGAACGGAACGGAACGGGACGGGACGGGACGGGATGGGATGGGAAGGGATGGGATGGGAAGGGATGGGATGGAGCGGGACGGGATGGGATGGAACAGGATGGGACGGGAGGGAACGGGACGGGATGGGATGGGATGGAGCGGAATAGACCGGGACTGGATGGACCGGATCGGGACGGGGCGCGATGGGATGGGATGGAACGGGATGGAGCGGGACAGGGCGGGATGGACCGGAACGGGACGGGATGGAGCGGGCCGGACCGGGAAGGAACGGGATGGAGCGGAAAGGGACGGGCCGGACCGGGAAGGGACGGGATGGAGCGGGAAGGGACGGGCCGGACCGGGATGTGCCCCGACCCCGCCGCGCCGCCCCGGCCGCGGTCAGCCCGCAGCGCCCTCCCAGCGTGGCCCCTGCCCCGGCCGGGGGTGCGGGCACAGCCCCGCTTTCAGCCCCGCGCTGCCGCTGGCACCGTCAGCAGCGCTCGCTGGCCGGCCGGGGATGTGGCTGAGCCCCCCCGGCACGGGCACCCTTATTTCCCCGCTAGCCCGGGCATCCTGAACCCCGCTCTGCACCCCGCTGGACACCCCACGTCCCCCAGCCTTGGCGGTCCCAGCTTGCGCACACCGAGCCGGGACACACTGAGCTCCCCAGGCTGGGCACCCCGAGTGCTCTCCGTCCGAGCCCCCCACAGCCTGGGCATCCTGAGCCCCCCAGGCTGGGCACCCCGAGTGCTCTCCGTCCGAGCCCCCCAGCTTTACTCCGGAGTCCCCCAGCCCTGGCACACCGAGCCCCCAGCAGCGGGGATGCCCCTCCCGCCCCAGAACCGCCCCGGGGGCACCCAGCGGCGCCTCCTCACCCTCCACCAACAGCCAAACACAATTTTGGGGTGGTTCCCCCTGGGTGCCTCCCCCTCGCCATGTGCCGCGGGCACCGAGCCGGGGCTGCGGGGGAACTACAGCCCCCGGCGGGCGGCGCCGGGCGCGGAGCCCGGGCAGGGCGGGCGGCGCTGGACGCTGGGAGCGGTAGTTCTGCCCCGGCTCCTCCATGTTCAAGGGACAGCCCGTGGCCAAGCGCCTTCGTGCCCCTCCTGCCCCGCTGCCTTTGGGGGGATGGAGCGCTCGATGCGCTCATGGAATGTTCTCTCTCCAGGCACGCAGGGAAACGGGAGGGACGAGCCCGAGCTGGGAGAGCTCCGGACGTGCCCTCACCTGCGAGGAGAGAGGAGCAGCCGCTGTCTCCAGGGGCTCCGGCCGGCCCTGGGGCACAGAGCCCGCAGCACGGGCGGCTCCCGCAGCTTTTGTGGCTTGCGAGGGTACAAGAAGTCACTTCAAGCGCGGGTCCTCAGTCATTAAAACACGTGCAAAGCTGGCTTCAGCCGTGCCTTGCATCCATTCCCCGCTCCATGGGCTGGCGGGGCGATGGATGGGTGTTTCCACCACCTCTTCCAGCGTGCCCTTCCCTTGGGGGGCAGCAGGATCGACCCCCAAAACCTGGGGAAACGCGGCTTGGAGGGTTCGGTGCTGAACGCCCCAGGCCGGGCGTGACAGGCAAGGGTCGAGATAAAACAGCGAGCAAAGGTTTTCCCTGCGGAGCCTGGGGTTGGAACCGAGCCTTGCACGGACACACAGCAGCGTCCTGGGCCAGCAGCAGCCCGGCTTCTGTGACCTGGCCAAGCCCTGCTGGGATAAGCTCGGCTCTGCTGGGCTCGGCTCTGCTGAGACACGAGTGGCTGAGAGGTGGACACAGCTCTTCTGGGTCATTGCTGTGTCTTGAATTCCCGGGAGAGGGGAGGGAGCTGCAGAGGGAGTCCTGTGAGAAGCAGCTGAGGGAGCTGGGAAGGGGTTGGAGAATCCCTGAGGGAGCTGGGAAGGGGCTGGAGAATTCCTGAGGGAGCTGGGAAGGGGCTGGAGAATCCCTGAGGGAGCTGGGAAGGGGCTGGAGAATTCCTGAGGGAGCTGGGAAGGGGCTGGAGAATTCCTGAGGGAGCTGGGAAGGGGCTGGAGAATTCCTGAGGGAGCTGGGAAGGGGCTACGGCTGGAGCAAAGGAGGCTCAGGGGGAATTTCTGGCTCTGCACAAGTCCCTGGCAGGAGGGGACAGCCGGGGGGGTCGGGCTCTGCTCCCAGGGAACAACATGAGAGGAAATAGACCCAGGTTGTGCCAAGGAGTTGGATATCAGGAAAAATTTGGATATCAGGCATTGGCACAGGTGGTGAAGCCCTGACCCCTGAAAGCGTTCAAAAAATACGTAAATGTGGCATTTGAGGACATGGTTTAGTGGTGAACATGGCAGTGCTGGGTTAATGTTTGGATGATCTTAGAGGATCCTTTCCAACCTGAACGGTTCCATGGTTCTGTGGGGTCCATGCAGTGTCCCCAGAATGCCAGCGGTGCGGGAGAGGCGATGTGAAAGGTGGAACTGTGTCGTGTGGGAGCTGGAGCAGCTGAATCTGCCTGCACAGCTTTCTCCTGTGGTGCCACCCATCCCTGGGCTGATACCAGCCATGGCCCCTGGGTGACAGAGATTTGGGCTGCAAAGGGGACAGGAGCTCTTTCCCACTCTGTCCTCACCGGGCACAGAGGGCTGGGGTGTCCCTGCGCTTCCTCTGGTCACTGCTGGGCTCTGTCCCTGCCAGCTGCCACCCTCAGCACCCCGGCTGGCTGTCCCTGCGCTGTCCCCAGCGCTGCCCCCCTGCCAGGTGGGCTCAGCACACACCCAGGCTGCTTGCTGACACTGGAAACGTGTTCTCTGTTAATTAGACCTGGGATAATTACAGTTACGCCGCTGGAATGAGAGGGGGAGGGAAGGAGTCCTGCTGGGGATGGAGTGTGAGTGGTTCAAACCCTCATTTGCCGGTGAATTTTGCTGGATTTAGGGAGAAGTCCTGCGGCTGTGAGGCTGAGGGGGAGTTTGGGTCTCATCTCCAGCACTTCCATCCCTCCCACAGCCTCTCCTGCCTCCCACCGCTGCCATCCTCTCTTCTGCCCGAGCTCCCAGCTTGTTGCCATCCATGGAAAAGTCTCCCACTGGGAGAACATGCTGATCCAAAAACTTCAGAGCCAGAGTGAGAGGAGCAGGCAGTGAAATAACTTCCACCTCCACAGGAGAAACCTTCTGGGGGTGGAAATGTCCTTCTGATCTTCCTTGCACCGTTGGCCACCAGGAGCTGCCCCAGCTGACCCCAGCCCAGTCCTGACAGGAGTTATCCTGGGATACGTCTTCATCTGCAAAAGGAAAAAGGGACCTCCAGGAGGTGACTGCTGTCCTCCCACCTCCCAGTGACTCACTGGAAGGGCTTTTCTCCCTCTGTTCCCCACAGAAGGGGCTTCAATCCACGGTGATCTTCACCGAGCATCAAAATTCCACATCCTGACCCACTGCCCAAATCCAAACCCTCCTTCCCTGCTCTGCCCAGATGCTGTTCCTGGTGGCACCATGCCCAGCACCACTGAACCTTCTCTTTGAAGGCGTCTGAGAGCAAACCAACCCAGCTCTGCTGCCGTGATTCATCCTGCTGGGAGCAGAGCTTCCCACAGCTCCCCAAGGGAGACACCTGCACGGGACAGGGGGTTCACCTGGGGAAAAAACACATTGGGGGCTCCTAAAAGTGGCTTCGGTGCTGCCCCAGGGAGGCCTGGCTGTCCCCAGCCTTGGGACATCCAGGACTTTTATTTCAGCGACAATTTGATGCCTGCAGTTAAAAGCTAAACCGAAGGAAAGAAGATCTCCCTCTGTGTAGAGCACCAACATCTCCTTGGCCACCAGAAAAAAGAAATCTAAAAAATCCACTGACTCAACTTTTCCCAAACCAAGCCAAAAACTGCTGAGGTCTTTATGCAGAATATTTTCAGAGTGTGCTGGCTTGACCAAGAAACCCTCGAGAAGCCAAGTGCATCATTGATTTGCATCACCGGGGCAGCGTTTCGTCAAAGCCCGGCACCGTGAGCCACAGCTGACAGCCACAGTGGCCAGAGCTGGGCAGCTCTGACACCTGAAATCAGGGACCTTCCCGGTGTCACCTTCATGGAAACGCTTCCTGAGCTGGAGCTGGCAGCAGCAGCAGCGGGGGAATGTCCCTGGGCTCTGCAGCAGCTCTGAGCCATCAGATAAAGCCCTGCTCTCCACCGACACCTTTCGCCCACGGGTTTCTCTCCACACTCCTGATGAGGCACCCAGAGCAGATGGGTGGTTTTTTTTTTAAAGGAGTCCCAGCCAAGTTTAAAAGCAGCTGCTGAAATGTTGTGGTTATGGGAAGCTGCAGGGAATTCTGGCTGTGGAGCCACCTGGCAGCAGCGGGGTCTGAGAGTTTCGTGTTGGCCGCAGAGCTGCTTTTCCTCGTGAGAATAGAGCCCCCCAAAATTAAAGTTTTTAAGCAGCTCCCACCCACCAGCTGGGCTCAGGGCTGTGCTGAGCCGTGCAGGGAGTCCCCAGTCCCCAGTGCAAGGACAAAGCTGCTCTGGGAGGTGTCCTGGGGGTGCTCAGCTCCCGCTGTTCCCTCCTTGTGTTCGGGGAAGTGCCAGTGCCTGCCCCTGCTTCCCGGGGGAATGGGCTTCTAGCACAGGATGGAGAGAATCCAGGGGAAAACACCAGGATGGACAGAGGGATGGAGCAGCTCTGCTGGGAGGAAAGGCTGGG